CATAGAAAGCAAAAGAAAGCAGCTTGATGCTTCTCACAAATGTCAATAATGTGGACGCACAGCCAGGCAGATTCTCACAGTCACACTAAATAGTCTGGACAGTGTGTGCACATACCGGCAGTCTGCTGTGGGTCATGTGACAAACCAGTTTAACACAACAAAGGAATAGTTTACCCCCCAAAAATTTATTTTGCTCACCCACAAGCCATCCAAAATATAGATGAGATTGTTTCTTTATCAGAACAGATGGAGAAATTTAGCATTACATCACTTGCTCACCCATGAATCCTCTGCAGTGAATGGGTGCCGTCAGAATGAGTGTCAAAACGGAAATGTGATGTGTATTATTGGGATGTTTCCAAGTACTCCACAAGACTCCAGTCCATCAATTAATGTCTTATGAAGCGAAAATATGGTAAAAAAGGCTAAAATTTGAGTCCTTTATCCATAATATTTTTCTGTCAATATGGGGTGCTGTGTGTACATTAATGAGGAAAAAAATTAACTTAAATGATTTTAGCAAATGGCTGCAATATAACAAAGAGTGAAAAATTTAAGGGGGTCTGAATACTTTCCGTACCCACTGTATGTATATATATATATATATATATATATATATATATATATATATATATATATATATATTTACCTACAGTAGTAACATCAAGATAGTTGATGAACAACTTTTATATATGGAATCCATACATTTACAGACAACAGACAGTTCTTGGCTACAAATAGAGCTAACCTTTCCCTGTTCTGGAGGGGGATTAATGAAAGCGATTGGTCTCTTGGGTGTCTGTGCTGTTGTTATTGGAAGTCCCCTTAGACTCCAGAGACCCCTGTGGCTCTTGTGACAAGCATGGCAGTTGACTAATATGTTTTTTGGTATTAGGGGAATAACAAACCCAATCCCCCTGCCTTATAGTTAAGGTTAGGGTGTCACTTAATCATGTAACCTATTCAGTACACATCAACAGCCACACCTACATATGATCAGTCCTAGAAAGGTTTTGACAAAGTCACTGTGCCTGTTTATGTTTAAGCTTAAGGTATGTGGAGCAGTGGAAGATGTTCATGTACTCTCCGTTGAGTTGGTTTTGAGGGGATGGGCCTAGACACTTGATCAGTAGCCGATAAACAGGCATTGCGAAAGTAAATGTGCCCGTCTTCTCGAATTACAAAACAAGCCGGGCTGGTGCTGGACGCCAAGCCAGCACATGCTCAGGCATTTCTAACAGTGGTCAAACTTCAAGCTGGGGTCACAACAAGCCTGCCCGGTCAAGTACAGACGCCCTCGTTTAAACTACAGTGATTCAGACGGGGATTTTCAAAACTTTAAAAATCATGATTGTTTTGCTTAAGAAAAATTTGAAATTGCAATTCTGAAGAAAAAAAAAAAAAAGTTTATTTCAGGGATTAATAAAACCTGAACATTAGACCAGTAAATAACGCTATTTACTTGAAGTTCTGACAAAATCTTCTGACAAAAGTTCTTCAGTTTATGTAAAAATGCAATAAAATGTTTGAAGAATGCAAGTAAAAAATGTATTAACTAAAAGTTTACATCAAATTTTGAGCTTACACACCTTTAAGGGAGTATGCCGAAATATATTACTGATGTGTCAAGTATTTTTTGAAAGTAAATACAAATATGTATTCATTTGAATGAGGAAGTTAAATGAATGATACAATGACTTTTTCCATTCCTGAATGAATCAATGTGTTTGAAAAAAATCGGTTGAATGAATGATTCAATGACTCGCTCATAATGAATCAAAGAGTTTGAACAAATTGACTTAACAAACTGTTCAAAGACTGACTCAAGAAAGTCATTTAACATCATAACGATGTTGAAAAGACCAAATATACACAGTACAAAAATGGTTTTGATTAATCCACCAGTTTGATCGTATGTGTCACAGAGACATTAATAGACAACGCTGAATCGTAATTTTACAATAAATGATGATTGAAGCAAGTTGTTCGCTATCACTGAAAAAAAACAAGAAGTAAAATTTACTTAATTTTAATTTTGCAAGTTTTTGCACTCATATTTTAGTAAAATTTAAGTATGGAATTAAGTAAAATCTATAGCTCTGAAACACCATAGCACTGAAAAAAATGCCAATAAAGCATGTGGTTCACTTAAAATCGCGTATGTAAAAAAGTAGACAGCTCATTATCCTTTTTAAGGTAATATGTTTACTCAATATATATATTAACTGAATGAACAGAGACCTGAATATTTGGCGCACGATACACAATGACGGTGACAATCAGTGAATAGTGTTGGAGTATGAACGGGTCGTTTTGAGTAAAAAAAAAAAGGAACTCCAAATGTCACAAAACAGCAAGTTACATAACCTAACAACAAAAGCAACCATAAAACAGTGTAAATACATCTCGAAAACAGCTAAATATTTTACCTCATTAATTATTCATGCCCAAGTGCATGATGGGAACAACGGGATCATGACTTTGATATTTACTTATATCAATCTTTTGTAAACAAAAAAAACAATCTTTGTAAAAATAACAAACAATTCCAAGTAAAATATACTTATAAGTTCAAACTTTTAATTTTACAAGCTTAAATTGAGTACTAATATTGAATTTACTCTTTTTTTTTTCATTCTTGCCAGGACTAAATTATTTAATGTAGAAATTACATTTGTTTTTCTGTAGTATTTACTTCACCACAAAATCATTTTTATCAGTGATGTAGCTCTAATTTGCCATCATCTCGCAACCATTTAAGTTAATGTTTTAAAACATGGTATCATTTAAAAACACTATGTAATCTTTAGAAAATCCCAAAATGAATATCTTTTTCCATCAATGAACTAATCCTAACAGAATCCTATCACAAAAAATTGTATGTTCCAACCCTCAGCTAAATTGAATTTAACTTATGTTAACTAATCATTTAGCTCTGAACTGAACAGATGAGATGTTCAAGTCTGTGAGGAAGGATCCTTTTTCTCCGAACTACATGCTTCTAATAATCACTAGAGAAAAAAAAAGTCCACAGTCTGATCCAGGAACACCGTGCTGCCCGTCAGTACTGGTCAAATGTGCCATAGGGCCGAATTTGCAGCCTTTTCTACATACCACAATAACAAACAGACTGGCTCTTGGTTCAGAAATAGCCCTGTGGATCATGTGCGTGAAAACCTGTCAAATCTGATCTGGCCTGCACATGTGAGGACTTGACAAATGCATGGCAACTGTTTCTAAGTACAGGGTCCTTACTCAAGGGGAATTCAGGCTCACTAACTGTGCAGCCTCTTATTCTGTTACAAAGCCCACTGGAGGAACAGAAAGTAAAAAGCATCCAGTTGAAATTACCCTAGCTATCCCACAGAGTTGATGCGTGTGCATAGAAAGCAAAAGAAAGCAGCTTGATGCTTCTCACAAATGTCAATAATGTGGACGCACAGCCAGGCAGATTCTCACAGTCACACTAAATAGTCTGGACAGTGTGTGCACATACCGGCAGTCTGCTGTGGGTCATGTGACAAACCAGTTTAACACAACAAAGGAATAGTTTACCCCCCAAAAATTTATTTTGCTCACCCACAAGCCATCCAAAATATAGATGAGATTGTTTCTTTATCAGAACAGATGGAGAAATTTAGCATTACATCACTTGCTCACCCATGAATCCTCTGCAGTGAATGGGTGCCGTCAGAATGAGTGTCAAAACGGAAATGTGATGTGTATTATTGGGATGTTTCCAAGTACTCCACAAGACTCCAGTCCATCAATTAATGTCTTATGAAGCGAAAATATGGTAAAAAAGGCTAAAATTTGAGTCCTTTATCCATAATATTACTTTACCCAGTGACTAAGTCATATCGTCTGAAACAAGAGAGAAATATGCACAACTCAAGCACCATTTACAAACAAGTCCAAAACAGTTCTAAACAAATATGGCAGTTGAGAGGACAACAGAGGATGTACTTTTTCCATGGGAGGAAACATTATTGTGGATTATTGACTGGTATTTTAGCTGGAAGCAATGGTTTAAAGTTAAAACGCCTAATAATGTATTTGTTTCTTAGAAACACACAGCTTTTCACTTCACATGCTGTTAACTGATGGATTGGAGTGGTGTGGATTACTAGTGGATTATTGTGATGTTTTTGTCAGCTGTTTGGACTCTCATTCTGACGGCACCCATTCACTGCAGAGGAACCACTGGTGAGCAAGTGATGCAATGCTCAATTTCCCCAAATCAGTTCTGATGAAGAAAAACTCATCCACAGCTTGGATGGCCTGAGGGTGAGTACATTTTCAGTATTTCATAACTATTTACTTATTTTGGAGTGTTTCTACTTATACTTGAGTCTGAAAATCATTAGTCCCAGTTGTGTTTACAATATAGAAACTTATATAACATGCTAGTATACATCATGTGTTACCCCCATTGCCCAGAATACTCTGGGTCTCATGAACCTCTCACGGTCAGTAGAACAGAAAACAACATGCAACACTTAAGTAACGCATGGAGAGGAACCCCAGCCAAGCTGACGTATCAGATGCTTGAAGTTGCTTAACACTCAGCTGTGCCTCAGGGCAAAGACAGGGACACATGTGTCTGTCCAATTAAATAACAAACCATTTGCATATCCGGACCAGACATGTCTGGTATACAGCCAGTTCTGTCTGGGTGTGTGTTTACAGAATTACAATTAGTGAAATTAGGTTGTTTGATATGGTTAAGCTTTTTATGTATTAACAATATTTGAATGAATGCATATCATGATGTATAGTATATAGTCTTCTTTAAATTAATTTTGTACGTGCAGTAACTTCTTTCCAAGTAATTTTGCAACTCACTGATGAGTATTTTGTATAATAATAAGATTCATAGGTGAAAACACGTCCTTATTTTGTAGGGTACAAGTTAACTAGAAATTATGTGCCATGAGGAAATATAACTATAGTTCAAAGATCAATAAAGTCAGATGTAACAATTGGTTTTTCTTCTCATTTTACCTGTTCAAGCACATTTCTGCACTCTGTGGAAAACAAATACATTGCAACGCTAATTAGAGGTAAGAATTGTGGTGCACAAAAAAAAGTGCAAATATTTTTACACTACCATTCAAAAATACTATAAAAACAGTAATTGTGAAGTATTTTTACAATTTAAAAAAAGTTGTATATTTGATTATATTTTCAAATGTAATTCATTCCTATGATGGCAAAGCTGAATTAGTCATGATACATATTTTTCAAGATTTTTTGATGAATAGAAAGTTAAAAAAAACAGCATTTATTTGAAAATAAATTTACTTTACTGTCACTTTGGTCAATTTAATGTGCCTTGCTCAATAAAACGATTAATTTCTTTAAAATAAGTCTTACCTACCCCAAACAATGGCGATGCAGTGTATATTAAATATATATTCTCCAAACTATTTTATTTTATTTTATTTTATTCTTGTTATAGCTTTTTAGAAGAATTAAAAAGAAAAACTACAATGACAGTCAAATATCCTTGCATGGAGGGTGTTGCTATAGCGCCAAATTCCCTTCCTCAAATATTTACTTGAACTACTATGTAACAAACCACAAAACAGGTAATTGACAGAAATAGGCAAACCTTTTTAAAGTTTTCACTGGCTTCACACTTACCTCTTTAATGGGTTCATCATTGTCTGGATGGTCGAGGCTTCTTGGCATGTGCCCCAAAGCTCCAAGGGTTTGATCCTCAGCTATGTCATAACCCAGTTCTCCTCCACTTCCCAACCTCATGCTAAGCTCTGAGGGTTCCTCCACATCTTCAAGTCCTCCACCTTCCACAAGGAGACCCACTTGAGCTGGAATGGAGACTCCATTGTCAGGCTCCCTGTGGACCAACCAGGCTTCCAACTCCGCCGCTGGCACCTGCAGGCGGTCTAGGGAGCGAACCCAATTTAGAAGCCTGCGAGCTGTGAAGAACCCATCCAGATCTGCACTTTTTGGGTGCAGGTTATATCCATCCAGGATGTTTCGAAGACTGTGGAATTGAGTCCGAGTTAGAGCTGAATTTGGGCCCAGAATGATTTCGCTAAAAGGGGGCAGGTAGGGATCCACGTCCACACGCATCCCAGCCAGACTGAGAAGAATAGCTACTTGGATCAGGCCCTCTGTGAGGTACTTCTTCAGGTCCGGCATGGCCAAAACCAGTGCCGAGAGCAAAGAATGAGCCAAGTCAGTCTCAAATTGAATATGAGCGTGTTTGTGTCGGTGTATCCAGCTTTAGAATTTCAAAATTTTCTCCATGAAGAAAACTTTAGTTTTTTTGTTTGTTTTGTTTTTAGTTCATAGAAAAAAAGAGAGAAATTTCACACAAAATCCTGAAACAGAAGAGAAGAATGATATAAGAATGTAAGTTTCACACATTTCACGCTTCCAAACGAACTCTGGTACGGTTCGTTTAAGGCAGGGGTGTCAAACTCAATTCCTGTTTAATTAGGGTTGAACCTAAACTCTGCAGGATTCTGGCCCTCCAGGAACGGAGTTTGACACCCCTGGTTTAAGGTGTGAATATGACCCGACCTCAATCCGACCCAATTGCAGAAATCACGCTCAGAAACATGCAAGCTCGCACATGTAGTGCTGTTGTTTGCGTTTCAGTGGCTTAAATCACTTGTTTTTAAACCACAATGCATGCAAATGATGAGTTTTTGTGACCATGGCACACATAAACGTGACGTGAGCGCGCTAAATAGGCTAAAGGCGTGCTGCAAATGTTACCATGAATATGTTGGGGGGGGGGGGGGGGGGGGAAATG